AAATGAAAATTATTGCGAGGATTCTGTTCCCTGATGAGAAGCAAAATTTGCCCTTATAAAAAATTCCCACAGGGATAAACAACAAGGACGGACATAGGGAGGGATTCTGTAACCTTGTAGGACCCTTTTGTCATCTCTATTCCCGAGATATTAACAGGGTCTGAGTTAAGGGGCAAAATGTGAATCTCCGAATTCAGCTAAAAAGAAGTGGCAGTTTTGGCTCTGTTTTCTCCTAGTGAACTCAAGAGACACACGCAGGTACAAAAAGTTAATGGCAGCAATAGGATTGTCATCGTTATCCTGCCCTTAAAAGTTAGATTCAACCCTTTTCTCCACCCACGAATTCTATGTTTCTAACTGAACTTGTTTTAGCTTGAACATGAATTTTTCTTATCATGTGTTTTAACCAAGAAATGGAACTTTTTTGGGGAGTAAATTCATTGTTGTTTCAAATGTTTCTGTGCTGTTTAAACACTTTCTGTGCAAATTATTGTGTTTAGCTTGCTTTGTTATTGGCCTTGGTTTGATGCTACAGTTGCATTATTGAAGGCAATGCATTTTTTGTTCAATAAAAAATCTATTGGGTTTTAGAATACCCATAGTGAAATTTCCATGAAAATCGATCGCTTTACCCCTCAGAAAGTTTGTAGGTTCGGTAGTTTTTTTTGGAATATCCTATAAGCTGTTAGTTGCAGTAGAAATGGGTGTATATAGATTAACAAATGCTGAAAACTTATAGGCTTAGTGAAACTTGAAGTAGAATTGGATATTTCCTTCTTAACATTATAATGCCAATGTTTAGTAAAAAATCCTAAGATATTAGAGCACCCTGTTATTGTTAGAGTTGTATCATGGAATTTTGGGGTATTAAAATAAGACTTGAACTTGCAATTGAAAGAGGATTCATCAGGATCATCCTCGGCCCTTATGTTTGCTGTGACACCCCTAACCTTCATCTGCACTTGATTGATTCTTGCAGGTCTTTGATCAGGCAGTTTGATGAAGTGCAAGTCACCCATATATTAGAGAAGGCATCCAAGCAGCAGACACCTTGGCTAAAGCTGGTGCTTCAATGGAAGATCAAGATACCTTGTCTTTTTTATTTTATTCCTCGTTTCTGTTCTGTAACATATAGCCATGATATGGCTGGATTTACTGTGTACCGCACTGTTACTTGTGGAACTTATTTACGATATTTCCTTTAGTACCCAGAAAAATATGATTGGGAAGGAAATTAGTGAAAAAAAAAGGCGAGTGGGGCATTAAAGTTTGGATAAAGAAATTTATGTTTTCTTTTCTTCATTTTTTTTCTTCTGGGTCCCATTATCTGTTTCAGATGAGGACCACTCAAGCTCCCAGCATCTAAAATCAAATGTGAAAGGTATAAAATAAGCCAAATGTATGTCTTTCTGCCTTCACCGAACAACACCTTACCCGCTTATTCCAGGCTGCTACGTAGAAAGAGTTGAACCCATCATGACATTATGCATTGACTAGACTTCAAGAAAAAGCTTGACTTGGAAAAAAAAAAAGAAACGAAGTTTTGTATATTTGCATCAATTAGGGTATGCATTTGTCGTATGAGAATCCAAGAACATTATTATTATTATTATTATTTTTGGGGACAGAGTTGTGGTGTCTAGGGTGTGGGTTTAGTTACAGTACCTTAGCTGGATCGTTCTTTATGGTATATCTTTCCCTTTTATTGGGTGGAAAGTTAGCTGAGAAGGCAAATGGCAACTCAGCTTCCCCTGTTTTGAATCAGATTTTTTAGTGTGACTGTGATCCATGGCATGAATTATGGATGTTCTATCTCCTCCCCAGTTTCCTTCTCCAATGTATTTAGCTTATTATGTCAAAATTAAAATAAGTACATATTAACAGAAAAACACTTGCTTCTTTCTCCCTTTAGAGAGTGGCTAAAACCCAATAAACCATTGGAAGAAAACAACATAAAGGACCAGAGAGGGACAATCTAGAAATGAGAAATTGCAAACTTTGGGCTTCGTCACTTCTACAGATAGAATACCCCAATTTCTATAAAAGATCAGAGCAGTTTGCAAATGAAGCAGCAGACAAGCAATTGTGGAATGTCTCAGTGGAAGCAAGAAAACATGCCTTAGGATATGATTGCCTTGATTGGAAAGCAAAAAATCATCTTTTTATGCTCTCTTTCCTCCAATCTCATTCTTCTATTGCCTTCTTACCTTCTAAAGGAGTGGGGGGATATCACAGAAATACGTTTTGCTAATTTCCATTGATGAACTGATTGGATTTACTCCATTGAACTAGTAAATGAAAATCACACTCATTTTGTCATATATGAATTAGACACAAAAAGAAATTTGGAATGTGAAAAACACTATCATTGTGTTCCTTCCAAAGTCCAAACCAACAAGTAAACCACACAATACACAATTACAGGGAGTAATATACAATCTACAACTAACCAAGGAAAAAAAAAAACATCTTCAATCCTAAAACAAGGTAGTACAGAAAAGAAGATCACAGTTGCTTGGTTGCAAGCTTCAACTGATCCACTACTTACCCACAACCAGTTTTGCTCTAGCATGCCCCTCGTTGATCTGGAACTGCTCTCCAAGCCCAAAGTGAGCCATCAGCAACCAAACAAAGGTGATGAGCTCTCCTCCTTTGCTCAGCTGCTGGGCATGAGTATTTGCCCTGCAATGGGCGGCAGCATATGACATTAGTTCCACCCACATTCTGCTCAGCAGCTTCCATTTATTCTTTCTCGCCTCCTTCTCCTCATCCTTCTCCTTCTCCTTCTCCTCCTTCTCCTCCTTCCTCTCCTTCCTCTCCTTCCTCTCCTTCTCCATCCTCTCTTTCTCCTCCTTCTCCAACTCCTTGAGCTTTTTAGCCAAGATACAGGCATCAAACAGCACAGACTTGCTCCTGTCTCCCTTCACATGCACCGGCTCAACATCTGTATTGACACCCAGAATCTGGTCACAGGCCTTCTCTTGGTCCTTTGCTCCCAAACGCCTTCGGGTGAAGAACCTCCTGGCCTCTGCACAAGTGTCTCGGAATCTAATTTTTCCAATTCCAGCAACTGCCGACATCATCGTAGGCTGCATGATTAGAAGATATATCATGTAATCAGAAAGCATCTTACTGAATTCACGATAATCATACTCATCGAAATCCCTCTCTTTCCACTTTTCATCGCTTTTTTCATTTTTGGGCCAACATCCGGACCCGGAATTGTTGTTGGTCTGTTGATTAGTAGGAGTGGCACTAGCAAATTTCTCTCTGTCATCGTTGTAGAGAAGTTCAGTAGCAATGTGCCACAGCAGAAGGCTCTCGTCGTATTTGACATCAGTCACGTACCGCATCAATTTTCTCCGTTCGGTATTGTCGGAATCGCTGTCCGTCAGAATCCAGTCGCCTCTGGAGGCCGAGATCCTCTTGGCGGTTTCTGGATCATCCGCGTAGTCAGACTTTTGTTTAAGCTCAGTGAAGATGAATCTCCACAGCTCAAACGTGAATCGATCAATGGAAACATATCTTAGCGAATCCAAGATATCCTGAAGACCCAGTAGATCAATAAGGTTCCAAGGAAGATTCCAGATATACCTAACAGATTTGCTGATTTTATCCGCTACCCAAGAACTCCACGGTCTCTTAGCCGTCCAGCGCCGGATCGTAAGGCCGATCGAATCCACAAATTCACCCACGGGCGTGAAGACGCCTTTCCAAAAACCACGGATTTTTTTAGCCATAGGTTTAAGAAATCCCTTGATGATGATGGGTTTAATAGTTGTAGGATAGACCGTTTCACGAAACCATTTTAAGAGAAGAGCAATGCCAGTATATTGGGCTATCTTTCCAATACAAACGCGAGTCCAACCCGTGAAATCATGGACTGTTTTAGGACCGCCTTTCAAGCAGTACCTAATCAAGTTGTGTCCGGAGACAGATCCCGACCACCGGCGGAACAGAATGGGCGTCGCCAGCACATGATGCTGGACTTTATGGTTTTCCATACATTTAGAAGGGCGCCAGCAAGGATTTTTGCAGCTGAGGAAGACACCAAATATAGAAACCACCCAACGTTTCAACTTCATACGACGCGAATTTTTTCTCCGATCACTGACCGAGTCATCATCAACATCAAGTAGCTCCACAGTGGCCAGAGTCCAATCCGAGAAAATGAGCATGAACAGAGCAATAAAATCCAGGGCAATAGCACCCCAGAGCAATGTGTAGGTGATCCTCACATCCAAACCGTGGTAAACTCCCTTCTTCTTTACTCTGTAGTGGAATACTCCCAGGGATGATAAAATTGCACCAAGAGCTACAGCCCGGAAGATGTATCCGATCGCCGATTGGATAACTTGGACCTTGGTGTACAGAACTTCATAGATGAAGTTGAGCTCAACCTCGACTACCCTTAAAGCATCTTCTGGTTTCAATTGCCGGAAAAAATCTCTGCTCTCGTTGCGCTCCTTGAAGCTGAAGATGAGATCCACCACGAGCCCCTTGAATGTTTTGAAGTAGTTGTAAGCCTTCTGTACCACTTTGACATCGTCTAGCGTAATAGTCTTGTCAGGAATTTTGGTATCTTTATCGGGCTCCGGAATGTATATGATTTGAGTTGGGAGCTTGGCCTCTCTCTTGGAAGCGTATTCCTCCATAAGCTTGGCGTAGTTGGGACCCGGATCCGGTTCGCTGAGCAGGGAGTCTCTGAACCTGTCGAGGCTGGCCAGAAACAGAGCACGAGTCCGTTCACCGTACTTGATGACTCCGGCGATGAACATGAGCATAGTCGGCATCCAGAGCCCGTTGGGAAGTGATTGGGCGAAGACATAAAGAGCAGCAGCGGCTTGGGATATCAAACCAAGCATATGCCTGAGCCAGAGCTCGTTATCTTCGAGAGCCAGAGCAGTGATGGTGTCAGGGCCGCCAAGATGGAGAAGGAGGAAGGGGGCCCAAAATGCTAAGAGATCGCTGTTTTCTGAAGATGTAGAATTACGGGGCAACTGATCGCTTTGGTCGCTTTGGCTGTCGGAGATGAGACCGACAGCGAAATTAGCAGCCCAATCGGCGAGCAAGTAACCGGACCAGACGAGAAACATGATGAAGCTTTTTTTGGTGGCTTTTCTGTAGGGAGAGACGAGGATGAGGAGGGCCTGCAAGGAGAGACTGAAGAGGAGAACCCCCCTGATGTTCCATGCATCCCAAGTTCTCTTGATTCTTTTTGGGACGACTGTAACCATCTTGTTCCTCTGGTTGATGCAGCTTTCTCTCACTCCTCCCCTGCACTCCGCCTGAGCAGAGCAGCAGAAGACTTGGTTGACTTAGAAAGTCCACAACCCTAGAGCGAAAATGCAAAATAACAGGGAGGACACGGATATGAATGGGCAAA